CGTGTTACTTAATTGCCATGTGGTCAGCAGGGGAAGCATGTTTGCAGGGAATTACATCAGGGGTCATCTTGAGATAAATCATGCATCCAGACCTAGAGAGAAAGAAGCCTTGCTGAGGAGGGAGTCTTTCATGTTGCCAAGCTTGGAGAAAGCTATGCCATGGTATGCCTCTGACCATCAGGACCTCCCAACACACCCAGAGTCACAGAAAACAAATAAATAAATGCAAAAAATTATTAAGTATATTTCAAATGAAATGGCACGGTGGAAAAAGTACCTTTAGGCTTAGAGGTCTGCATTCAATTCACAGACTCCACATAATGATGGAAGGATACAACCGACTCCACAAAGTTGTCATCACTGCCACACATGTATTAGTTCTATGCAGATGCACACATGTATACACATCATATATACACAATGAGATTATATACATTATATAGAATAAGATAATCTTAAAATTATATTGAAAAATATAATTACTAAAATGACATATTATAACACAACCTGGTGGCATTTAGGAAAAAAAGAGAACATATTTGCAAATAATATTTATGTTGGAGAGTGATAAAAGAAAACAGAAATACCATATGTATACATGACTGAGAGTTAGTGTTTGAGTTGAGACTCTTAATTTGAGAATTTGGATGCCATAACCAAAGTATTCCACCAATGTCCCTACACCACACACTAGCAATGTGTAATATACTCCGGTTGAATAAGTTAGCATATATTCAAGAAGCCAGCCATAAGTAGAAGTGTCCATCTCTTAGATCTGGGTTCAATGGGCTCTCTATAGAAGACCAGATGATACATGTTTTAGTACACAGAAGACCATGTGTTTTGCGTTGTAACTGATCAACATTGCCTTCCCTGGAAAACAGCCAAAACAATATATAAACAAGTCACTGTACACATGTGCCAATAAAAACTTATTTGCAGACACTAATGTTTCACTGCCATTCAATGTTTGCAAGTATAAATTATCCTGCTTTCCATCTTTCCTTCAACCTTTAAAAATGCAACAATGGGGGGCCATAGATGGCTAATGCCTTCTATGTATTTATCAAGTGGAAAAGACATAAGTACCATTGTTAAATTGACAAAAAAATTGTGAGAAGTAAATTGGAAAATGTATGTATCTAAATTAGACATGCAAATCTAGCCCATGCCTGGCATGAAACCTGTCTGTACTTTGGGTCACACCAGCTTCTCCCATTGCCTGTGAGGTGAGCCTGGAGCCTCTTGCCCCTTGTTAACCTTATACCATGAGCTTTACAGTTACACATCCTTTTTCCACCTGCAATGAGGACAGGGTCCAGCAGCCTCATTCTAATCTCATCTACTACTTCCTTCCCAAGACAGAAGCACACATCATCTTACTGCACTGCTGAGCAATGCCTTTCTCCAACTCAGAAGAGCCTTTCACCGACTTTCAGAATAGAACACTGATAGCACAGGCACTAAAATCATCAATTACTAAGCAGGACCTCATGAAAGTGAGAAGCCTCTGCATGGCAAAGGATCCAGTCATTGGGACAGAGCAATAGCCTACAGAATGAAAAAGATTTTTACCACCTATCCATCCAATAGAGGCCTAATATTCAAAAACTATGTAAAGAACTCACAAAACTGGATATCAACAAAACAACCCAAATTGAAAATCAAATGCTTTGATTGACAATGGTGGACTGCCTGAAAAATATGCTACTGTAATGGTGGCACAAACCTTATGAGAGTAACCAGCCCATATTTGATTTGACTGCCTGCTCCACCAGATAGACCCCATAACTGATGCTGCTTGGGTGACCAAGAACCTGAGACTAGATAACCCAAAACCAAATACCAATGTTCTAAAAAAAAAAAAAAAAAAAAAAAGATAGTACCAGAATGACATTCTGCTCTACTCATACATCAGTGCTCTTTGCTCAGCCATCATCAGAGAAGATTTCTCCTGCAACAGATGGGGACAAATATAGACACCCACTGCCAGACATTGCCCAGAGACAGAAACAGGGAGAGGGAGAGAAAGAGAGACCTTGGAACACTCAGCCCTGAATGGGATGTCTCTATCTAAAAAGCCCTTCTCTCCTCAGTTCTCAGGGAACCCTGCTGAAGAAGAGGCAGAAAGAGTAGAAGAGCCAGAGAGGGTGGAGGACACCAAGGGAACAATGTCTTCCAAACACAGCAGTACCCGCATACATATGAACTCACAGAGACTGAGGCAAAATGCACAGGGTCAGGAAGGGTCTGTACCAGATGGGGTCCTAGAGCTGAAAAGAGAAATGGACAAATGCCCCCTGACACAGAAGCTAGCTCCAGTTGATAACCGAGTTTCCATTTGTAAGTGGTTTTCTCCAAGCCAGTCTCCCTGGGAAAACAAATCGGAATGCCCAGCAGTAGATGGCCAACAGAGAATGAACTCAACAACATCTTTGGAGGTTCCTTGTTTCATAATGACTTGTCAGAGTTTTTTCCTTTCTTTTCTTTCTTTTTTAAAACTTTTATCTTATTTTTAAATTTATTTACATTTTTTTCTTTTTACCCTATAGGTCTTTTGCATATATATTATGACTTCTATTTTAGTGTTTACCTGGGATTCTGCAGTGTAATGAGTGGGTCTCTGTGGGTATATGGGTTTCGTGTGTCTTTTCTTGGGCTCTTTCCCTACTGTTTGTTTGTTTTGTCCTATTCCAGTATGTTAGTTTTTGTTTTATCTTACTTTATTTTATTGTCCCATAGAAGCCTGTTTATTCTCTAATAAGAAGTGGATCTGGATGGGAGGGGAGGGGAGGAAGAATTGGAAGGAGTATAAGGAGGAGAAACCATAATTATGATATATTATGTTGGAAACCACATATTTTCAGTGGAAGTGGGGGGAAGAACTTCGTCTCTCCTTCCTTCCTCAGCGGTAACATTTTCTGTCCTGCTGATTTCTTCAGAACACAAACACTGCTAGGAGACGTCTCTTGGTGACAGCCAATCAACTCATGGTAGCAAAGGCAGAACATTGGGGAAAATATATTTGTTTATATTGTGCTAAGTGCCAGAACTCATACAGACCATAAAGATATAAAAAAAAGCAATATTCAACATGTAAATACATACTATTCATTGTCAGGAATACATTTCATGAAAGATCTTCAGTCACTGTAAGTTAGACACTTACCTGGTTTGTGTTTGCCTCATGTCTCTAGAACTCTGATGCGTGAGCACATGCAAAGACATATTTTGCCTCTTTGAAACTACTGGAATGAATTCGAAGTTGAGGTTTTTGGTCATTACAATCAGCATGCTTTTACTTGAATGGGCCCTTTCAGACTATCATGGTGCTTCCTGTGGCTACCATTAGTGCCTCAGCATTTCTAGATTCCCTTGGTCTGAACCACTTATTCACTCTCTTCTGAAAGGGCCACTTGATCCTAAGACCCAACACTAACTTAACAGTTGAATTAAAAAAAAAAATATTCATTCTAGTTTAGTCAAGTTTTCCCGTGTAGGCATTTCACTCAGTGGAGCTAGAAGTTTCCTGTGCATTTGCTGCTGGTGTGTGTGTGTGTGTGTGTGTGTGTGTGTGTGTGTGTGTGTGTGTATCTTTGTGTGTGTCTGTGTGTTACATACATGTGCTTTGAGTATGTGTGTCTGTGTGTGTGAAAGAGAGAGAGGAAGAAGGTGTATGTGTGTGTTATATACACATGCTTTACAGTTCTGTTAACTTGTCTAGGAACTTACTTAGGACCTAATCTAGGCTCTGGGTGTAGAGGAGACGGCATGAAGGTAAGATCTTTGTGGTATACTGTGTTAGTAACTTCATTGAAATAGGATATATTGGTTGAACATACTAAACAAAGGAGAACTAGTGGGGTCTGAGGATGCAATAAAGTTTAGTTAGACTAAGGATTATCCGTTCCTCCGAATCAAGCATAGTGAAAGGTGCTGGATTCAGGGCTGGAAACATCTTCTTCCCTGGAGCCTTGAGTAGTTTACCGTGCTGCATTGAGCATCAACAGTATCTCTCCTGTGAAATGGGCGATGCTTTGCAGCTTCATACACAGGATTAGTGTGAGCTGCCTACCCTGTCGTCATTGGAGTCCCCTCCATTGTAGTCCATTGGAAAGATGGGACAGGAGAGATCAGTTCTGTGGGGTTGCATGGGGACAGGGCTTCCATTTGGAAGAGAGCAAGGAAAACAGTGCACCTGGGTCAGCTATCGTCCTGCTCCCCGGGGAGCCCATTTGGACAATGGATAGGCTATCTTTTCCCAGCACAGGCTTTGGATAGTTTACTGTCCTTACAAGCAGACTGAAAAGCCTGGTCAAGTTACACACTTCTTCGGACTTTTTACAAGGACTTTTCGGCATTCAGTCCAACTTTAGGGTTCCTCGGGCTCAATTTGGTTCTCCAGTCTTGAAAGAACATACTGATTTTGGCACTGCTGCGCTAAGACTTCTTCCCAAGGGACAAACAAAATGTAGATGTTTGTGAATAACATATGTCTAAGATCTGGGTTGTTTTACCTTGTAATGAAGTGACGTGGATACCTTAAATGATGGCTAAATGGACATTATGTCCTATACAGCCTGACAGCATTAAAGTGATGCATATTAGGAAGGAAGGGGGCCCTATTAAAATGTAACTAAGTACCATTTACTGTTCTTAGAGCCACAGAGCCAAGTCAAACTCCGTGGGGTGTTACTACTTCCCTTTAGCCCACCAGTGTGACAAGCAAACCACTCCTTTCCATTTGTGCCTATAGCATCATTCCTCAGCTACACATTTGAATGTTAACTGACTTCCCTGACGTCACAGCAGGAAAGAGGAGACTGAAACTCACCTCTCTCAGTCCCCAAAGCCCCTGGTGGGATGCTAAGGTTTACTCACAGAGACCTGCCAAAAGGAGCACCCATTGACAACACTTTCCCAGCAGCCAGCGCCGCTGGCTGGGGTTGTTACAGAAAAAGGATGGCGCCCCAAAGCTTGTGTGTCTTTGTTTCTTCCAGGAGAGAAGCCCTACAAATGCACGTGGGAAGGCTGCACCTGGAAGTTTGCCCGTTCGGATGAACTGACCAGGCATTACCGCAAACACACGGGAGTGAAGCCATTCAAGTGCGCAGACTGTGACCGCAGCTTCTCCAGGTCAGACCACCTGGCGCTGCACCGCAGGAGGCACATGCTGGTGTGAGGAAGGCTCCCGTCCAGCTGCGCGTCAGAGCTGGGTCTCTTCAGGAGCGACTAACTCAGCAGGGTGGAGCCCCCTCTACAGTGTTAACGTCAAGGTCACCGCCATCCCCACGGTGCCTGAAACCAGAGCAGGAACAAGAAGGAACCCTTCTCCTTTCAGCCTGAAGGTAACCCCCCACCATGACCACGCGCGCACGGGAGAGCTGTCTGCCTGCCTGTGAGCACGCCGGCCTGGGAGTTGAGCGCCTCAGGTCCTGAAGAGACAGGCATTGTTTTTCATGCTGTGTCCTCTGCCATTGAAAAGAGGTTTGTAGCTTGTCCATTTTCCGAGCTGGCCGACACTCTGCTATCAATCCCTTAAAGGTCATCTACCGCAAATTGATGGTTAGAGAAGACCTCTGTTTGGATGGTTCTTCCGTGGCACCTCCCCCACCCCAGACCCTTTAGACCAAAATTTCAGTTCCTATCTCAGTAAGCCAGAACACACATCCAGTCTGTTACCAGCAAGCAGCATGAACTAGAAAGGAAGGGGCTGTTGGAGATGCTCCATGGCCCGAAAAGAAAGGCACACAGAAAGAGCCCTCTGTGCTAGCCATGGCGCACTAGATAGCACTCACATCTTGTCCTCACGCCATCCCCGAAGAGAACCAACATTGAGTCTTTTCATCTGTTTGTCGGTGCTTGTTTTTGTTCCGTTCCGATTTTGTTTTGTTCATCTGTTCCAGCAGAGGGGCAGAGCAGTTTCTCCAAGGCTGGTCCTGCTCTGCCCTGGCATGAACTGGCAGAGGTGTTCTGTAGTTGACTAGGAAGAGCCTGTCTAAAAATAATAGCAACAGTAATAATAATAACTACTGCCCCATTTCCAATTGCAGTGTTCTGTCACCTAGGCACCCTCTCTTCCTGCCCTGAGTGTTTGATTACAAGGAGCCCAAGGGGAGGGGGACTTTCTTAGACACACTGGCACCGAGGTAAGAGGTGGGGCTGCCCATGAAAAGTCAGTGAACATGAAAACGAGACAAAACAGAGATGGAAATAATGCTCCTCTTGAGGAGAAAAGCAATAATGAATAGAAGGACTTTCCTACAATAACTCCACTGAGGACTCACGTTACCAATTTTCATACTTACTAAAGGAATTGTAAGAAACACCCGAGCATTTCAGATGTCTTAGTTACATCCACAGCACTGAGGTAATCCTTCTGCTGTTTGTTGTCTTACTTGCGCGAGTATCGCAATTAAAGATGATGCTCCCCCTTTCTCGTTTGAAAACAGTTATTTGGCGACTAGATAGGCAGAGCTGAAGATTAACTCTTCAGCCAGTGGGGCTGTTCTGCTTGGGCATGAGTCCGTGGAAAGAATGTCCCCGTGGAAAGCCCGCCATGGTGCTGCTTCTTCAACTCGGAGGGCCAAGAGTTTGACTCTCCCGTGGATTCTTCTCTACACATTTCACTTTTTAAACTGTCCCAGAATCCCCATGCTCCCACATTGGCATCCACAGGGACAGACAACCTGCTTATCCTGGGAGAAGGATAAGAAAGTCAGGTTCCCTTGTCCCTCTCAAATGAAGAGCCTTTTTGTATCTAGCAAAACATACAGGAAAAGCAATACATCCCCAACAAGTACTCATTCCAATATGGGATCATGTTTTTGTCCCCACTAAAAGCTGCTGTTTTCCCAGCTTTGTGTGGCAGTCGGGCTTGATGAGATTTTTTTTTTTTTTTTTTCTTTTTTCGAGACAGGGTTTCTCTGTGTAGCTTTGCGCCTTTCCTGGAACTCACTTGGTAGCCCAGGCTGGCCTCGAACTCACAGAGATCCGCCTGGCTCTGCCTCCCGAGTGCTGGGATTAAAGGCGTGCGCCACCACCGCCCGGCTGATGAGATTTTTGTTGTTAAGATTTTATAGCTTAACTATAAAAGGTCTCCAGCAAAGACCTTTGCAATATATTTCAATGACAGATGCTTGATTTGGGAAATTGCACAAATTAACCTCATAATATTCCTAGCTCATTTTTAAGTGTCTGCAGATTCTGAAAGGATTTCTGGTGACAGAGTTATCCTTTATAGTATCAGCTTCTAATTTGGGTAATTGTATTCTGACAAAGCAAGAGCTATAAACACTATAGGAAGAACCACTTGGGTTGGAGAGCTTTTAAAGGAATTTTAATAAACGTTCAGGCAAAAGTATCGTGATTTACAGATCAAGTCCCAGCTTCAAAAATATGTGCTCTATATTTTCTGCCAGGTCTGAAAAACTCATCAGGCAATTTCCCTCCAACAAGGGCTGCAGTTCTATTGATAAGTAGCTTCAGCTACACAGGCTGGTACCCACCAGCCAGTGGAATTTTTTTTTTTAACCTAGTGGAACATTTTTGTTTTTATCTGTACTGTATGCACTTCCTACTTCTCATTGCCTGTTATCACTCAGAATAAAAACAGGTTTCCTGATGTGTGCCAGCATTAGTAACTGGCCAGTGTGAAGAACACAGACGGTAGTGAACAACCGTGATCCCCAAGAGCTGGCCCCAGAGCCTGGCTGGCAGGTAGTAGGGGAGTCACTCAAGTGAAGTATAGGTTTGGCTTAGTTCTGTCTGCTCTCCTAAGAGCCATTTCTTTTCCCTCTGAGAGACATCTTGCAAGTTTTGCAGGTAAAATTCATTGACTTGACAGGCAGTGGAAGCTTCCTGAGTGACATCTTGATTTAAATTTAGCACAGAACTAAATGAGTTGCACCTAATAGCTTAGGGAAGACTTGGGGGAAGTGAGCTTTCCCCCTCACTCCCTATAAGTGGGAAGCATACTGAGATGGTAAGATAACTGATCAAATCTGCCATCATTATAGCATCCCGTTCCTTTTGACTTAGCGATGTTTTTAGAAAGGATCTAAGCACAAGTGAACATGTCCCTGATCTGGCCCAAGAACTGAAATGTATTTGGAACTCATCGGGGGGGCTGTAATCAGTTCTCCTTGGTAAATTTCCTAGATGTGTTTCCTGTATAAAAGCAAGGAGTTTGGGACTGAAGGAAATGGGATATCCTTAGGCACAAAAAAGCCTCCGCCCATTTCATGTGCGTATCTAGCTTCTTGAAAAGCACAGTATATGATAAACTCTCAAAAAAAGGGAAAGAATCCTAAAGGACTTCTTGATGTTTCCCAAGCAAAGCATGTTTGGGTTTCAGATTTGAAGTGGTTCAGCTTGCAGCTAGGCAAGCCTGGCACACACAGCAGACAGATGACAAGGGAGTTGGGCTATTTGAGGGGTTTCAGAGAGTCCCTTATATTCCAATCTTAAGATGTTTGGAGAGAAATTTCGCATTCAGCTCCAGCCTCCTGCTGTCGATTGCTTTGGACACTGCTTGATTTTATGTTCCTTTATGGCATTTGGAAAGAGGTTCCTGATGGCTTAACCATGGAAATTATGCTACTGCCTTTACAAATCACATACAGTTTTTGTTTTCAACAAGTTGAGTGTCAGTTACATGAGTCAGCTAAATGAGCACTTTTAAATATCACTTTAAAGTTTAAATGGGAACTAAGAGAAGTTAGGGAAGGGGGCTTTCAGGATGCTTCACTGTTTACAAATGAAAGTTCTAGGTGATTAGAAAAGCTCTATTCATCATGGGTGAAATTTGGAATAGCTCATGCAAAGAGTGTGTTTGTTTTTATACAACTTGTTTAACTTCGAATTGCCATTGGTGTCTGAAATGGAAATGTAAGTCTGCACTTTGAGATCAGCTCATTAGAATGATAACATGTATATGGATAAAGATGCAGTATTCCTTAGTCTGTGCTTCGTTTATTATATGTACCAAAGCTGCAATTGAATAAATCTGGTGAGGTGAGGCCTTCAGTTGTATTACTATGCCTTCGTTTTGTTATTCTGACTGCCTAGAAATGTAGCTGAGAGGTTGTTACCAGGCTGTCTTATCACTTTTGAATTGAGAAATCACAGAACTGAAGCAGTGTCAATACCAGCACCCACACAGTCTGCATAGAAAGGATCGAATGTGAACTAATGTGGATGAACCACCATAGGCCCAGGAAGCCTTAATAATCATAGTTCATAATCCACTCTCATTAAGTTTATCCCATAAATGTATGCCATTGGCCAAATCTCTTCCTTGACTTTTTCTAAGGTTGTATATCCACAGAAGTAATTTGACTTGGTTTAGTTTAGGGAAGAGATTTGACCAGTCATGTCTTCCATATTACATTTCTACTTATTCCCACACTGCCTTTCACTTACCTGGACAGACACCCCAACACATGCACCTGTGTGTACACACCTGCATATGCAGCAGCCAACGGGCAAGTAAATATCAACAAAGAACTTTTTTAAAAGAAATAATTTGTAATAACCCATACTATGTAGAAATGTAAGTTATTACCTGACTAGAGAATCAGCTTATAATACTATGTAACTTTGCCTGCATTTTATAGCTAAGAAATGTATATAAAAATTTAAAATGCTATATTTTCACAATTTCATTATAGAGTAATGTCTGTTTAGCAAACCATGCCCATTGGTATTTTAAATATCTAAATACTAAGCAATTGCAATAGAAATTCCGATTTTCATAAGAAAATGAAGTGGAAGGATACTGCATCTTTAAAATAGAGCAAAGCTATTTTACTGTATTCGTAACATATGTGACAGTGGGAAAAGTATTTTCAAACACGCAAATTTTACAGAGGTTGTAAATAGTTTGATGACATATGTTGGGGAAAAGCTTCTAGTTTTCATCACAATAAAAAAAAAAAAACACTTGTTGAGATATGCCTTGTGTATGGATGGTACACACAATTGGTGATGTTGTCGTGGGAAATGGTACCTCTTGTTGATCTTCTTGGTGCTTGGTCAGAACAGAGTGGCCACTTGTCATAGCTTAGGTTTAAAAGTCAACTGAAGTCATTTTCTCAAACTCGTCATGTCTTTTCTTCAAAAGGGAAAAATGGGGACGTGCTAGTTCTAGAAAAATCATCTAGCAGTCATTCTCTGTTCTCAGTAATCCTCCTCCTCAACAAAGTGGTTCTCAATTGAAAAACATAAAATCAGGTGTTTATTCCTGTTTACGTTCCAGAGGGGTTGCTTTCTGGGGTAGGTACATGTTGATGAGGTTAAGTGTATGGATATGGCCACATATTAAAAGAATCTGTAGTGGCAATAGGGAAAAGTTAATGCCCATTTTTTCAGAAATAAATTAAATGCTGAAAGTGCCTGTCAATGAATATGACCAATGAGATAATCCTATACTTTCACAGAGCAATAATTCTTCATCATACTGGGTTTTTCCTACACAGTTTGAGCACATACATACACACAGAGTAAATATATGCACATAGTAGATGAAATTTCTTCCCACGAACCCACAGAAAAGGGCTCTCATCACTTTGAAGTATAACTAACCTTATTTGCAATTAGTATCTATTAATTTTATTTGTCTTACTTGAATACAATCGGGTGAATATGGAAATTAAAGTTATCTTCAGTGTACATGACAATGTAGAACAGTTACCATGTTCAGATAAAGTGTACCTCAGACTTAGAACAGAGCATGTATGTAGCTCAGAAAGTCTTGCTCAGTTACGAACACTGATGCACTTAGAGCAAGACTGTGAGGGACTTTTGTCTGCTTAATTTTGCCCTTTTAGATCAGTGCACAAGTCTGTCTTTATGTGTCTCTTTTCGCCTAATATATCCTGGTAGCTTTTGGAAGTGAACATTGACAAATTATTCCCCTTCCTTTCCCCACAAAAAATCTTGTGATACTTGTGAAGGCCTTTGGATAGTTACTTAGTTAATTCTGACAGTTACCTCATGATGTACATTCAGAAGTTCACAAGTTTGTTTGTTTTTTTTTTTTCTAAAATCATTTTATGGCTACAAGTAGAGTCATGGGTAGAAATAAACGATGACACTGTGTATAGACAGGAACCCAGAGTATTCTCCAGCCTTGTTGTCTCAGAGCATGACTTCACCCAGAAAAGCTGTTGGGGCTCCCAGCTAAGCTATACTAGAGGCAAACACTCAGTAAGAATGCTCTTAATGTATGGCTGTGAGTAAGCCATCGGGCTTTAGACAGTGTGGTACTGCAATGGACAGCATGCTCCAGGCCCCAACCTCAGGTCTAGAAAACCATCCACTAATTACCCTACTCTGTTTCAGAAAAGGAGGATGAAAACACATGCATCAGGAGGTAGAGGGAGAAATGCAAATAGGCGCCATTTTAAAGCACGGCTCCTGTGTTCCCTGGTCTGACTGATATCAAACATTCTGACTTTCTTCTTCCCGCGTGTCTGAAAGTGCTGAAGTATCTGCATGGTTGAAAGCTCATGCTGAGGCCTTCACTAAGAATTTGAACATGGTCCCTCCAGTCTGTACAACTACTTTCCCCTTCGTGGATGGGAAACTGAGGCACAAGGAGAATGGCTGAGATGTCCATGGGCACAGAATAAGTCAAGTAGGTAGAGTGGGAATACAAAGCTTCCTGGCTCTGCAGCCTGTGTTCTTTGTGCTATAGTGCACACCCCGTTGCCTGTTTCTGGCTGCCATGTTCCCATTCTCTAACTTGTTTTTGTTATGAGCACCCTGTAGGGGTAAAATACCAGAACATGATCTAGCACATGATGTGACAATGGTACAGAGACTTTGAAATCAGCCCCTTCCTGGAAACTCACTGATGGGTGGTAATTCTAGACACACATTGAACCAGAGTACTCCCTTCACTTGTCAATTTCTTCCAAATGTTTGCCCAGAGCCCGCAAGATCTTTCAAATCCTCTTACTTACTACGATAATTCAGTCCCAGTTAGTTTTTCCCAATTTACATATTTCTTTGTATAGTAATTGCTTTTCCACTAACACAGACGTGCTGTGACCTGTGAAAGAGCATCTGAAACCCTCACCTCTGTCAAAGTACTTCATAACAGGTGTTCATGGGGTAGTGACGTCAGCAGTCAAATGATCAGCACACAGCTCCTTTCCAGGGCTCCCACTTAACAGCACTGTCTTGGAATGTTTTAAATAGTCTCATAAATAATTTGCTTATAGTATTGTTAGTTTGAGTTTTATGTGAGGAGCTGTCTAACATCAGAGAAATGAAATCCTTCCCCTTCTGCATAGAAGAAAGTCTCTGACAGTATTGATTCATGGAAGCGCTAATGGACTTAGAAAACATTAAGAATGCCATTTCTCAGAGTGTTTCAGTTTCTGAAAATGAATCTCCTGAATTATGGTCTTTCTCCCTGTTAGTTAGCTGGGGGATGAGATAAAAGCTGTATAAACCACTTCTCTTCCATGCTGAAAGCAAGTGTCTATGTCTACAACCTCCTGTAGGCTTAGACTGCTGTCACTTAATTGAGTTTCACCAACAATTATTTCTCAAATGACAATGCCACCACTCTAAGAGGACTGACAAGAAATGAATAGTGGGAATAGGCACATCAATAACATTTTTTTCTGCATTTCATCTCTAGAAATGTGAAGTGTTTCAACAGATTCCTGTTGTGAATTATTCTTTTTCAAAAGCAAGTTAGCCAAGTCCTTGACAGAGATTAATTTTTTGTTGAGAAATGAGGGTTTATAGGAGAGAATTTAGATCCAGTTCTACAAGTTAAAATGTCCATTCAATCAAAAACTAAGATATTTTAGGGATATTTTGACATCTTCTTTTTATGCTCATTTTGTTATCTAAAAATACAGCATAAAACGTTATAGAAAATGTATTTTCCCCCACTCACATTTCTAGCTTTCCCATACAGAATTTTGTGTTGTATCTAGACCATAGAATATATTTTATTCCTCGAATTATTCATTCAGTGGGTATGATTGAACTGGGCACTGGTGCCTACATACAAGGCTCTTTCCTATCAACTTGTCTGTGTACAATTTGTTGTGTTTGAAGGTTCATTTTTGAAAACCACTGTCTCCCCCTCATGGGATGGTGTGGCGGTTGTATTGTTTTGTTCATGTCTATGTGGGACACATTGCATCACATGGCAAACCAACTATGGATGGATGTGAGATAACTACTTAACAAAACCAGCTTGAAAACATTGTCTTATGTATTATGTCATCCTGCCTCATAATGCAATTATGTGTATCATTATCACTTTTTACAAAGAGAAACCAGCAAATTCATGTTTGTCCATAGAAGGATGTACTAGGAATTGTCTGTGTTGTGAAACGATGAGAACAGACCACCTTTAAGATACCCACCTGCCACTTAAAATGACTTAGTTATAATTAGTAGTAGTCTAGACATTGCTCTTGGTGTAGGGGAGGGTCAGTGCAGACGTCATATTCCTTTGAGTAAATCTCCTAGTCCTATCTGAAAAACATGGGAATAAAGAAAAACATCATCTTTGGCCAAATCAAGCAGGCATCTCTTTGCTTTTCCTCAACACTTAGCTCATCACACATGGTCATTGGATCACAAGACCTTTCTGTGTACAAATATGAAAATGTCCTTTAGTTCGCAAAGTGGTTATTCTAGGCTAGAAGCCTCTACACAACAAAGTGAATAGATGGGCTGCTTCTGATTCCTTTTATGGATCTAATCTTACAAAAAGACTCTTGGGCTTATGACCCAGAGAGCTAAGAGTGCCCAGAGGAGAACCTGCATTAAAGGATGAAATCCCCTAATGATGCTGGCAAGCAAATGTGTTGAGTTCTTAGATCTTTGTTTGCTTTTTCTTTTCTGAGTTTTAATTGCAAATAAATTTATTTCTTCAGATTAAAGATCTAATTTCCTAATAGTTTCCTCTGCATTTATATACTCTGTAGTGTTTAGACAGCTCCTGTTATAAGTTTATTAATATTATGTAAGTGTTGTTCTTGTATTTATGTATAGTGTATGTATTGTAAATATACTCAGAGCTTTTTCTTTTACTGTAAAATGGTGATTTTTTTTTGCCCTATGATAATGAAAAGAGAGACTCTCCTAATGAGGCTCTCTCAGAAGAGTATTCCAGTCTATTCTCAGAGATTTAAATGAACAAGTGTTATCGTTTTCAATGGTGTCTCAGACATATTCTGTTGGTGCATTGCTTTTCTGTATTCAACTTTCCTATGAATTGAGCTGTGAACTGAAATAGAGTTTAAACCTTTATCTGTATGCATTTGTATAATTATCTGAATGAAGGCATGAAGGTTAAATAAAGCATTTTGTATGGAACAAGACTCCCTAATTATTACTAAGGCTGACTCAGGCACTTTGAAAATCACAGCTATTAACCATTTTAATTAAGCCTTTGTTGGGAAAAGTTTTACTGCTTACATATAGTAAATTGAAACTCGGGATAAGATACAATCTGTGTTTTAAAAAGAATGAGATTTTTTATTTTGCAACAATGATCACCTAAAAAGAAATTCCTAATATTTTAATGATTAGCGAACTCAAAGATGGTCCAGAAATACAGTGTGATACGCAAGATGCATCTCTCCGAGACCAAAATTGAATCCCTTGAGCTACAATTTCTTCAGGCTTTGTGTGTCATAAAATGATTCATGAAACATGCCAAGGGTAGCTTATCTCTTTATGTTTTTTAAGAAAACTGGATTATTGGGGGGTTTGAAAATAAGAACATTAATAAGTAGAATATCTTTAAATAATTGCTAAAATAAACTCGTGAAAAATCTGGTTCTTATTACCTAAGGTGTTTCCCTTGAAGATCTAGAAAAATATATTCTATAAAGGAAGTGCCTATAAATTATACCTAGCAGCATCCTCAATATTTTGTGTTCATTCCAAAAATCTTGGATTGTAATCTAGCTATATTCTAATGGATAGGAAATGAAAATGGTAAGGTGAGGTACTCAGTTCAGCCGACGTTTCCAGTCAGTCTGGTTGTAGGACCAGTTTCCTTAGCCATCATGAAAGGTAAAAATGATGGGAGGTAGGGAGTGAGATATGAGCTAATTAGGAATCACGGCGGTCAGGAAACATTCAGTAGATACCTTTGATTATGTACCTACAAAAACACATAAGCCAATCAAAATATCCTTTATACTTGGCAAGGAAAAATCAGAGCTCTGAAGAGGTTTTGGATCACTCTACCGCTGCCTCGAATCCCTTTTTGAAAGGATAATGAGTTCTGGGTCATCGTTCTATTACACACCAGAGAGCTGGACAGAGGCTGCAAGCTGTACCTCACTGTCCTGCAGCATCAAAGCCCAGCCCTTTCACCCTGTGCAGAAGCTGGATCACCACTGCCCTGACTTCCTCAAGTCCAACCTGTTGAAACATTACTGAGGGGTACTGGAAAAGTCTCTTTCTCTACCACTAAAAGCCTTCTAGCTGCTTTTCTGGGAACTACACACCAGTCTGACAACTAACAGTATATGGTTCTTAAAATCTGACGCAGAGCCGGGCGGTGGGGGTACATGCCTTTAATCCCAGCACTCGGGCGGCAGAGCCAGGCAGATCTTTGTGAGTTTGAGGCCAGCCTGGTCTACAGAGCGAGATCCAGGAAAGGCCCTAAAGCTACACAGAGAAAACAAACAAACAAACAAAAAAATCTGATGCAGTAAACCAGTTGACTTTTAAAAGTAAGTGTGTGTGTGTGTGTGTGTGTGTGTGTGTGTGTGTGTGTGTGTTGGGGGGGCACATGAAGGTAAGAGGAGAGGATAACTGTATGACATCACCTCTTCCCATCTACCTTTATGTGACTCCCGGTGATTGAACTTACATCGCCAGGCATGTGCTTCAATCTCTTTTACCTCCTGAACCATCACGATGGTCCCAACAGTCTGACTTTTTTTTTTTAAGTATTATTTATTTTGTTTTGTGTGTATGAATATTTTGTCTTCATTCATGTATGTGTACCACCTGCATGCCAAGAAGGTCAAAAGAGAGCATCAGATCTCCTGAAGCCGGAG